TTTTACTAAACTATTTCTTTTATTTATAGTATTTATTACTCAGCTTTAACTTGATACAATTTTATTTGTAATAGGTATAAGAATTCAATGTCTTCCTAGAAGTAATGTTTTAATTTAAGTATTAACTAAAAACGTTTTAAGAGTTTATTAATATATCTTACATTACGATTACCTTAATTTGCAATAATTTGCCTTTGCAATATTATTCATGAATCATTCTAAACTTGTGCATGTAATGTATTTAAAATTGCTTTCGTTGCAAGATAACTTTTCTTACGATAATTAGAATAAATATTTCATATATTGTTTAAAAATATTTTTGAAAATATGTATTTTATTATAATAAAATAAATAATATTTCGTATCAGCAAATAACATCATTAAATGGAATAAAGTAAAGACCCAGGGCAGCTGTGGGCATAAAAAAATTAAAAATAACGTTATTGGATCGTCACAATAACGTTATTTCTAAAACTTATGGTGAAAAATAACGTTATCACTTAAAATAACGTTAAGTCCTAGAAATAACGTTATTGAATCAGCACAATAACGTTATTTCTGTAAATTTTACGGGGGTAAAAATGACGTTATAAATGATCAATAACGTTAAATTCTGGGATAACGCAAACAATAACGTTATTTTGGAAATTTTAACGGGGATGCAAATAACGTTATTTCATTTTAAAAATGACATTCTTCGCAGACAATTACGTTATTTTGTTGAGAAATAACGTTATTGCATTCAGTACAATTTTAATTTTGGTAAAGAAAATGACGTTATTTTGAGAAATAACGTTATTTCATTCGGCGCGAGGTTTAGAAAAATAACGTTATTTTTGTTCCAATTCGTAACACGTCGAATAACGTTATAAAATAATGTTATTTTATAACGTTATTTATAACGTTATAAAATAATGTTATTTTATAACGTTATTTATAACGTTATAAAATAACGTCATCTTTTTCAATAGGGTGACACTCCTGGGCGAGCAGAAAATCGCCGATGAAGTGGCAGCCGGCAATCAGCTGTGTCGGGCTGCCGAACACCATCGGTGACATCCTGAGCGCCACACACAAGAAATACAGCAACCACACACACAAACACCCGGGAGAACATCACTGAACCGACACGGGAGCGCCCCAGGAGGCGCTCCATCAACCGACACAAGGACACGAGGCGTACGCGTTAGAAATGGAGCGGCCATCTTGAAGCGCCGAGACAGACTGAGAGCGAGCGAGCGAGACGGACTGAGAGCGAGCGAGCGAGACAGAGCGAGCGAAGTAGACTAAGCAAGAGCGAGCGAGATAGACTGAGACAGAGCGAGCGAGACAGAGAGAGCGAAATAGACTAAACAAGAGCGAGCGAGATAGATGATACGAAATGATAGATAGAATAATATGCAAATGCGAAGATGAGGGCGCTACAAATGAAACAGCGTATATTATATACGTATCTATGACACAATAAAATTAAAATTATAATTGGAAAATAATGAGCGTGGAATAAATACCGAATTGTAAAATTCGCACGCGACCGACACCCCTATTATGATAGCGAGCGACAACTACCCCCTTTAGGTTTAAATAATAATTTAACTGACCGAATTCGAACCTCTGACAAAATTCGCTAGTGACGTCACGACCAATGAGCAAATTAGAATAAAATTTGATTTCCGTTCGGATAGACAAATAGATAAGAGTAGGGGTAGATCTTTTCCAACAACTAACGATAGCTACCTTAGTGGGGGGTGAGAGAGGGTAAATAACGACGAAAGTAGGAGAGCTAAGGAGGGCGCTGTATCCTTCTAATTTACATACGGACCAATAATAAAATATTCGGAGGGCGCTACCGATATCTGAATTAGCATACCGACCAATAATAACATTTCTTCTCGGAAAGAGGAGAAGAAAAGCGATCTTTGACCGCGAGAAGTCGATTCTCGTCCATTTTGCCACTGGATCTCTAGATAGAAGGAGCCTCTATCAGCTAATCTCGCTGCAGAATTATTAGCGCTAGACGCCTTCCATATTCTTTTGCCAATTTTGTTTGCCAATACCGCAAGGAAAAATTGTAAGTAGGCAAAGCGCTATTCACTTTTATTTAATCGTGGAGTGCGGGAATAGATCTCTCAGTGCTGTAGGTCGTCGCGACGCGTGGATCCGTCGACGCCGGTGCCTATCGAATCGCGCTGACCTGTCCGCCATTCCGTATATTTTAAAGTGAGTGTTAGATTTTACGAATGAAAATTGCGATTTAGGATTCGCGCTGACCTTTCGTTAACTATTTATTACGAACGTAGGTTGAACCGAATCAAATTGTCTTGATTATTTAGTTGTGTTGATCTTCCCGCCATTTAGCAAACCGGACGTGAGCGTTAGGATTAACCAATGAAAATTGTGATTTAGGATATTCGCGCTGACTTTTCGCTGACAAATTGCCGCGAACGTAGAGTTAGCCAATTAAACTCACCCTGCCTATTTAATCGTGCTGACTTTTCCGCCATTTCATAAATCAAACGTACGTGTTAGGTTTATACGAATTAGAAGCAGTGGTTGAGTTACTCGCGCTGACCTTTCGCTGACAAATTATTACGAGAGTAGGATTAGCCGAATAGGATTACCGTGCTGACCTTTCCGCCATTTCATAAGCCGAGCGTGAGCGGTAAGATTAGATAAAGTTGAGTTATTTGCGCTGACCCTCCCTCTTTGTTAATCGAAGACCGACCGGAAAATTATTAACATTCCGATTAATTTGTATCCTTATGGATTTATGAGTATTCAGAATTTTACCGACCATATTCACTCCGATCTCTTATGTGAAAATTATTAATACATCAATAAAGTGATTAATTATCTTTATATATAAAACTTACTTTGATATCCTACCTCTATTGCATGCTAGTGATTTTCAGCCGCGAGCGGTTACATACGGGTACCACTAATTCGCTGTATTTTCGGGTCATTCGATAGGTAACATACGCGCGAATTCTAACGTCCTCACGACCTGAATTAAGGAGCCATCACCTGAGCTGCCGGCATACCCTAATTAAGGAGGAAAAATTGGAAACGAGAGTTGGACACCAAGGCCTGAAGTGAGGATACCACGCGTATCCCCCGTCTGCCCACTCTGCGCAGTCGCCGTTAAGCAGACCGGGATACGCGATAACCCTACTGGCCTTACCCCCGACGATTGCCGTAATCAGCCGTCGGTCTGGCGCCCTAAATAATCGGGGGTAGAGCCAAACAGGCCTTGTGGCGGAAGAAACTCGGAGCGCGGTTAAAACCCCCGAAATTCCCTGCCACAATTTTGATACAAAAAATTTCATGGTGCTAATTAGTATGTTGTTGTACAGGTTTCACTATTTTTAGAGTCGATTGATTGAATACAAAAATTTTTTTTCTTAAAAATTATTGTTTTGTTTACTATTTTGATTTTATTTTTATTTTTATGTTCTGTTTGTATTATCGCTTTCGAATTTTCTTTTACTTACTTGACATTACCACTTTTACGGAAAACTTATTTGATTAAAAAGTTTGTTATACGCGTTTTGAAACATTTTATTCATAAAATTTTTGTTTAACGAACTACAGACAACATTTTGGTTTAAGGTTCTTACTTTAAAATAATAAAATATAAGTTTATTTCTGATTAACTTTATATGAATTCAAATTTTGTTAATATAAATGTAGTAAGGTCATAAAATTGACTATTATATATCCGAGTACCAGCTTGTATACACTTTTAATAAGTAAGAAAAAGTAAGTGAAAAGCTTACTGCTCAGAGCTCTTCCATATAGAATTCTACCGAAGGGCTAAGCATTTTTATTAAAATTACGTCATTTCGTTAAAAATAAAGTTTGAAAATGTACCAATTTCAGACATTAAATAATGTCAATAAGACATCAGAAAATAACATAATTTTTTTCAAAAAGGTTAACAGATTATTATTGCAACACTAAGCATAGTTTTTATCAGATTGTAATGTAATAATTTGTACCTATTTAAGATTAGTTACAAGTAATAAGTTATGAAAAGTGTATCAGTTGGTCAAATTATCATTGAGCAACATATAATAGTGGTCAAAGATGATGTAAGTAAATATTCATTATATTTGATTTTAAATCCAATATTTTCATTTTTAATACAGTGGATCTCAACAACTTTACGGCAGAGTGCTAATAATACTAATGAAACTAAGAAAATCCATATAGAATTTATACATTACATAATCTTTCTTTAAATTAATTATTCCATTTTACATATAAAGCAGCATAAAAGTATAAAAATACTTGATAGATAATTGTACTTGGAACATAGATTTTCTCCAAATTCATGCCAAAGGGTATTCGATTAAAAAAAAAGCTTATTATATTAAATTTATTTCAGTAGTACAGTTATTCAAGTAATTGTATTTTATCTTAATAGTATATTTATCTTACATTTTATTTTATTATACTTATTTTATATTTCATTTATTTAATAGACCTGTTATTTTAAAGTACTAATGTATTAAACTGTAGTGGTTAGAAAATAACTTCTTTTAACTTGATTTGTTTCTAAATTTTTTAGATTGGGTTCACTATGATCTGTTTATAATATTTGATAAAATTAAGTATTACATCTACAATTACCTACAATTAGGCCAGGAGCAACAAAACTTTTTAATCCAATTATTAAATAATTATAGAAACATAATAAGATTATTATGTAAAAATATACATTATAACTTGAATAATCATATTAAAACATTAAAAACTATATTTTTTATTTTATTATTAATAAATTGAAACTAATGAATTAAGTTAATACGAATAAATACTTATACTGTTCTACGATGGAAAACTATATACATTTTGTAATGACAAAGTATCAAAACATCATTTATTGAATTAAATAGCATTTATAAAATATATTTCAATACAAAACTTGAACGTGAATAAGATGTTCTAAAAGCATTTACAGAAAAATATGGTTGTATAAAAGTTAATGTTATGCTTACTTCATCATTATCAGTTGATTCAGGAGAAGCAGAGATTACTTGAAGAGCAGGTGACAAACTAGATTCCTAGAAAATATATATAGAATTATTATAGAAATAAATAATATATAGCATTACAAGCATCCATTACTCACTGATTCATTTCTTGGCGACAAAACAGGTATTGCTACAGGAGATCCTGGTAATGACTGAGATGTAGTAGATTCATCACTGACAGAAGATTTATCAATTTCATGCAAAACTTCTGCAACTTACTGGACAGAAATTTTATTTATTCATATAACATATTGTTTAATTAATACAATAATACACTCTTAAAAGTCTATATGCTCAAAAGTTTTTGTTGCATAATTTTATTCAAAAAGAGAAAATTGTTAATTTAATTCTCACAGCATAGTTGTCTCACCACCTCTGATTTTCAATACTTGAATCTGATGAAGAAACGTCTCTTTCCCGTCTTCTATGCCTATTATATCTTGTTGTCCTAGGCGTTTCAACATCAAGATCAAATCTTCCTAGGTTATAAGTGTGATTATTCATTGTTGCTGAAATTTAAATATATACGTTATTGAAATTTATCGTTACAGTTAAATTTAGAAATAATAAGTATGTTACCTGCAATTAAAAATTAATAATATGCCTTCGCACTTTATGAGCCGTTATAATTTTCACTGAATAATTCACCGAATAATAATTCAAAATAAAACATAAACTGCACATAATATTGGTTTAGTATTTTTTTTGTTTCGCATTCTGCTTTTCTACTTCTGTTTACTGTAATCCTTTTGCTTTTTTAATTTTTTTATGTATTTAATATTAATAAAAAATAACATTAAAGGTTTGATAAATAAGTAGTATCTTAAACATCTGTATGATTTTATTTATTTTTCCTTTCATGGAAAAAAGTGAACTTCGTAATGTGAAACAGCTGAACCATATATGGACAAAGAAACTCGGTTCTATGCGGTTCGGCAAAGTCATCACTTGATATTTATTTTTTAAAACGATTTGTACAGAGGATATGAACAAACAAATAATAATGATTGCCCGCTTATCAATGTGTCGCAGAATCTATTTAGTTTTTTAATTATTTCAAAAAAAGTAAAATTCAAATTTTAATGAATCTATTTTCTAGTTATGTACTGTGTCATGGTTATAAATGTTCTTTGTTCTGCAACCAGCTTTTTCCTTTGTCTGACGTACGTATATTATTTTTTGCAAATAATTTTTAAATTTCTAATCAAAGCAGTAACATTATTTTTAGGGTCTCAACATTTACAGATGTACTGTAATCAAAGTAACATACAACTAATTATTAATAGGAGAGATTAATACGAAGGAGTAAATAATCGAAGCAATACAACTAATTGTAGTGTCTCGACAACCAACGTTTTAATAAGGTTTAATAAGTAACGTTTTAATAGGTTTATAATAAAAGTTTTAATAATTTTATAATTAATTTTATAATTTTATAATTAATTTTAATAATTTTATAATTAATTTATATTTGTTGTGAAAAATACATGCATTTTTGCATATAATTCTGTAATAATAGGTTCTTTTCAATTCAGTTTTTTCAGACTATTATTATTGTATAAAATTATGTAGAGTAACGATTTACAAGAAAAAAAATTAAATTAATGTTAATAATTGTTTTATTTATGGTTGTAACTATATTCAAAGTTGAAATCTGTATTGATTTAACAATATTTATAACAGTTGTAGGTTTATTGATTACATTTGTAGTACACTAGTTAATTAATAATCGTTTTTAACCTTTTAAGGACGGGGATTTTTACGTTAAAATTTGACTTTTTTTTGCACAATATTTGTGCATAAAATGAAAGAATATGTCACGTGGAGTGCCTGACAAAATTGGTGGTCGATATATCGACCAGTCCCGTCCTTAAAAGGTTAATAAAATGGACAGTGTTTGAGTATAAGTAATAAGAATTAAAGAAATTATGTGAATTAACTCTTTTTTGTTATTTTGAGTTGTCTGGCTTTGTCAATTAACTATTCTAATTTGTAGTTGTTAAATGAGAAGTAAATTAATGTTGCTGGCTTATCAATTATCTATGAACGTTTATATAATTTAAATAATTTGAACAGACTCGTACATTACCAATAGATATTGTTTTATATTATAGTTGTAAATGGTTACTAAAGGCAGTGTATTAATATTGGTTTATTATAATTACTACAGCAAGTTTATCAATTTTGAAATGATATTCTTCAGATTAATTTTAGATATGTGATTGGAAATTAATATAGAATATATAAATTTATCTTATAAGGTATAATGTAAAAAATATTTTATGTTTTGTATGTATTTAAATAGTATCAAATAATTTTAAAACAATACCACTTATATTCTAAACGTATCCTTTAAGGTGAGGATTTGTTGAGAATTTTATTTTCAAAAATATTTCACCTACAGAAATATTATACCTATATTAAGTTTTTACTGGTTCAAAAATGTATATGTTAATGTGCATGGAACTTTTCAATGTTTTAAAAATTACAAAGTCAGAAAAATGCATTTGAAGTAAAAAAATTGAATAAAAAAAATAATTTAACACAGCAATTACTTTTAAAGCTGTCACTAAGCTACTCTATCATTGTATTTAAGTTAAAATAAGCACACTTAATAAAAAAAAACACTTGATTTATCCATGCTCTTTATTCTCAATAAATACATTCAAATAAAACTTTTAATAAAATAAATATAATTTTATTCATAAAATATCACATTTTAATTTACAACTTTTGATCAAATCCTTTTACAGAAAACTTGAAAATGCAGCACATTTTGATTGCTGCTATGAAATTTAATAGACACTTGTGTTTCTTATAAAACTTTTAATTATCAACTTTTAATTTTGCACATTCAAAAAGATATTCAAATATTGATGTCATTTTTATGTTATTTTCAATGTCAATGAAATTTATTTACTAGAAATGTTCTATTTTGTTTTGAAGGTATAATGGATTATGATAGTGGTATGTCAGATGTTGGAGAGCAAAGCGCTCATGCTGCTGTTAGGTTTTATGTAGATAATGCCAATGTGAAATTTGTGCCTGTAAAGCATATTCAGTATTATAATCCAGGTCAAAAAAATGTTCCTTATGATGCCTATGTTTTAAATGGCAAAAACGCAAAAGGCAAAACTATTTATGAGCCAGCAGCAATCCTAAGAATTGCAGATGATAAAGACACATTGGAAGCTATTCAAAAAAGGTGGCCAAAGCCAAATAAAAGACTTAGTGTCGTTGTCCGGGAATTGGCTCAAAAACAGCAGGATACAAAATCAACGAAATTGACGAATGTCAAAGAAAAAGGAAAGGGCAAGAAAGGGCTATCTGAAGAGCTATCAAACAAGGTTTTTATGCTACAATATACTTGAAATATAGTTCAAAAGTCAATCAATTAAAATTTTGTAAAAATAGTCGTTGTAAATTTAGCATTTAATATTCTTACTATAGTTGATGGTATATATTCAATTTTGATCTTATCTATTTTTATTAGTGTTTATTGTTCCACTTTTATTATAAACTATAGCAATATTTTGATTATTAGATTTCATATAATTATAATTTTGATGCACAGAATGTGGTATTTGTATGAACTACATTAAAAAATTTTATATTAAGTGCTTTACTGTAATAATTCATTTATTATTTAGACTAGAAATGTACCTCCCTCAGTATCAGATGCACTATCATACATGAATGATAAGGTAAATATACTGCACAATAAATCAGATTTTGATGAAGATGATAAAAAGACAAATTTAGGTAAAGATGAGATAATAAATAATTTGAAAAAACATTTAGAAGCATTACAAAATAAATGTTCACTTGAAATAAATGCATACTCCTATTATTTCTTCTTGCAATCACTCAGCCAAAACTCCATCTACATCAAATACTAACAAGAACAAAAAAGCTTCCACTTTTCAAAATGCTGAAACTCCACCTTCTACTCATAGTGATGAAAATTTGAAAACTCCTTCGTCAGTACAGTATTCTAAAAAACATCCTATTCAACCATGCAACATTTTTTTAAATAGTAAGAACGCTGTAATTTAGAAATATTTTCTAGTTTATTCAGAATGATTTTAGATTCTCATTTATTATGATACTTATTATAAACATGTATTTATTTCAGATATAATGGATGGATCTTCTTCTGAAGTCAATTATAGAAACATCAGAAGACCAATTAGGCAGTTACAGCATCTATCTCCAGATATATCTAAAATGAAACACTGTATATCTACATATTCATGTGGTAAAAGAATTTTACACACACAAATTACGCCATCGACAAGCAGAGTTTCTACTGACCATGAACATGTAACACCTATAGCATCAACAAGTAGAGTTGAAAAAGAACGTACAAATTTTGAAAGCAAAAGTGAAAGAAAAAAAGAAATTAACCAACGATCAAGATGAAATTATTTTGAAGAAAAAAAAAGAAATTAACTTTTAAAGAAAGAGCTATTGTCGAAAAAAAAAGAAATAAAAGAAACGAAAAAAGTGAAAGGAAAGAAACAAATGAAGCCGTAAACAAAAAATCATTGAAGAAGATTAAGAACAAAAAAAAGAAATACCAAAGAAAATTAAAATCTGTGCTCTACGATAGTGACGATTACATGTAATCAGACTGTGATTTAAAAAGACCAAGGTTAACCGCTTGGACCCAAGAACAAAGAGATGATAAGCCAGCGGTAAGTTTTCGTATCTTGATCACTTCATAATAAATCTTAGTTATAAAGTAAACTCTACAAATTTTAACATTTATTTTTTTCAGAAAAAAATGTTTCATTTACATTTTGGAGTTTCTGTGCCTGATAAGGCTTGGAAAAAAGCCAAACGGGCCAAAACCGACTATAAGTTTATGAGGGAACTGATACCTCATCTTTGGGAACCCGAAGAATTCATTCTTTTAGCTATACAAGTTAAGCGCACACAGAATGCCGATAACCGGATTTCTGTTGATCCTAAAAAATTTGAGGCATTAAAACGTAATATTAATTAACTTTATGATACTTTTAACAAATTGCTTTTTACTAAATTTTAATTTCATTCACAGGTGGATACATTCAATTTCTAATGGAGCATGGAAGAATTTGGAATGAATGACTACTAAACAAAAGCTGGGAGAAATACAGAAATTCGGAAGAAAACTGGGAATTCTCATTGCGCAGGACAGACAAGCTTATTTGAATAATTCTGAGGAATTTCGTAAAGCAAAGTATTGTGATAAAATTCTAACTGAGGCTGATGAAGATGAAGACGAAGGAGAGGATGATGATTTTGAGACATATGATGAAGATGAGGATGAAGGTGATATTTTTGAGAGAGATGAAGATCAATATGCTTTTAATAGAGTCGAAGAAGATGAAGATGAATACCCGGTAGGAGATGATGATTTTGAGAATGAAACAGGTTTATCTGAGGGGGATCAATGAATCGTAAATTAAAACCGTTCTATTACCATTTTTTTATGTTCAAGATGTTAAGATGTTCCTATTACTATTTTAAGAACTTTAAAAATTACCGTATTTATTTTAGTGTTTTACTTTTTGTACTATAATTGCTTTTAAAGTTTAATAATAATTTAAAAAATATTATTTTACGATGTAGGAATGATGATTATGAATATTTTTTTTTAAAGTGTAAAATTATTGATATCATACACTTTCATGTATACTATGTGACATATAAACCATCATAATGTAAAAATATATATGTATGATAAAGTGTTAAAATGATAGAAAAAGACGTATTTTCTTTTTTTGAACCTTATGAACTTTGACACAATCCATTGACTAGAAATGACGCTATTGCATCTAAAAAAATAACGTTAATTTATTCAAATAACGTTATTGCTTCTTATAAATGATGTTATTTCATTTCAATATACAAATAATTTCTTTAAAAAATAACGTTATTTTCTTCAAATAACGTTATTGCATCTGAAAAATAACGTTATTGCATCTAAAAAATAACGTTAGTTACTTTCTAGAGCAACAAAAACGTTTTAAAATAACGTTATTTTCTTCGAATGGCGTTATTGCATCTAAAAAATAACGTTATTTGATTTCACGAATCAAATAATTTCTTTGAAAAATAACGTTATTTTGTTGAAATGATGTTATTATTTTAAAAAAATGACGTTATTTATTCTTTAAATTAACAAAAATTTAAAATAAATAACGTTATTAAACGTTCCAAAACATGACACGAACAATGACGTTATAAATAACGTCATTAACGACGTTATTTAATAACGTTATTTATAACGTCATTTTTTTTAACAGGGATTACCCATACTGTAAAGGTCTCATAACGACATCCAGAAAAACCTAGTAACGATTATTTTCGAAGGTATTCAATGTGTTGAATACGAATTTAAGGGGGTTCCAGCGCGGAAAGTTCAGAGATATGATATAACTCATTTTATAGATTGAAATGCGCTGAATCCAACGGTATCATTCATTACCCCCCTAGCCGTGGAAAATTTTGAGATATATCATCTCAAAGTTCGGATCTTATACATGGGTTCTTATGGAGCAGAGTAGAAATGAGGTTAAAATATGATAATTTACTAACCTTAATGGGAAAGTTACGCGACAAAAAACTTATTTTATATAGATAAAGCCTTCAGCTTTCTAATGGTACATCGCAAATGGTGTGGAGCCGTGGAAAATATCGAGATAATTAGTAAAAACTGTACGCGAAATTGGACGAGCCGTTGCACATCCGGCTAGCCGACGGTAGCCATGTTAGTTACATTGCGCATGTCAAGCGCGCGTCTTTTGAATGTTATGTTCTGATAATAACAAAAATATTAAAATTTATTTCATTTATAAATGATGAATTTATATTATAATGATACACAAACAATATTTATGATTCTAAGAACGTTTGAAAAAATGGAAATTGGAAATTTTAGTATTACTATGTAAATAATTTAAATAAAATTATAAATTTTTCATATCGATTTGTCGACAAAAAAAAACAATAAATTAATATTTTCAGGTGCAGATTTTTCTTATTTCATCACAGATTGCGGTAATAATTTCTGGCTTGGAAGTAACTCGTACTTTGTTACCAACACTAATAGATAATAAAATTTTAATTCCTTCTTTTGGATTTTTTAAATAAGCGTCCTTCAACACGTCTTCTGTTATACCTTCTTTCGCAAGCTTATTGATAATAGCTGGTTTAACAACGTTTTTTAACACTTGCAATTTTCTTTTGTTTGCATCAACAATTTGTTTAACAATTTTTTTATGTTCATTAGCATCTTTATTATTCTGCATTTGGCTGAGACTCACTGTATCACTAACTATTTCTTCATAAGAAACATCTAAAATATCGACTAGACTTTTCAAAGCTTTAATATCCTCTAACGCATCATGTAGAAGAGCAATATTTATATTAGGTAAATACTCCTGGATTAGAGCTTCTTGGGTCCAAGAATTCTTTTTATCCTTCGCCCTTTCAGGTAGCTTCTTCTTGAAAATATTCAAGGTGTCAGCGTATCCATGTACTAAATTAACGAACTTATCATACGAATTAAACTGTTCGAGTAAAGGTTTGATTCTCTCGGCATCGAACCTTCAAGAAAGTATTATAATATATTAAAAAAAAAGAAGTACTCCGCAGACGCAAGAAAATTATGTTTGACTGGTGAATTACCGAATAACATTATGGCCAACTAAAATAATATGTGGACGAGAAGGATTGGATTTGAATGTTTCTAAATAATTCAAGAATCCATCTACAGCTTGTTGCCTAGATACACTTGCCAACTTTTTTCCTCGATAAAACAAACTGCTACTTTTAATCGTTAAACCAGTTTTCAGTGATGCCATTAGTGCAATCGGTACCGTTGGAACTATGTGAGCACTATACGATGTATTGCCATCATAAGCAGCAATCTTAAAAAAAAACAAAAATAAAGAGTTAGTTTTTAAAAATAAATAAGTTTATTGGAGTAAAAAGTGCGTACCTGGATTATTTGGTCTTTCTTCGGATTCAGACCAGTGGTTTCGGTATCAACATAGATTAATTTATAATTCTGGGAACCATCGGGATTATGACTAGGTAACACTGGATGAGGTATAGCATTGGTTACTCTGGGCAAATTAATTGGAATATTAAGTGGAATTTCAAGTACACCACTTAGCCCTACATCACTTCTATAAGTGATACCTTCTTTTTTTTTTTGACCACTTGATTTTGAAGATCGTGCTATTTTCAAAGCTTTCTTGCGCAACTTTCCTACACGACTACTAGCATACAAATTTTTTCTAATTTTTTTCAACTCTCTAACAATTCTGTACTTTATACCTGCTTTTACAGGACTAAAAGTTAATCTTTCAAAGACTGAATTGATCCATTCATGACCCAAATTTTTTTGGCATACTGCTGCTGCAACTCGGAAAGAAAACGATTCAGATCCGGAAAAGTGTTTTGATTTCGGACATTTTGATGCGACTAGATGGTTAAAAGATTCATTCGCTTGTGTGGATGCTGCTGGTGCAATTTTTTTAACATCATTAATAAAACGACTGAATATTTCTTCCAAAGCAGTTTTAAGATCTTTATTATCTAAAGGTTTTTTTCCAGGCAACCTTTTATACTCATAATTCTCTTTATCTTCATGAAAAGTACAGAGAGTGTGATCTCCAAATGCATGAGGCACTATTGCCTGTAATCTTTCTTTAAGAATATCAGGTTGACCTTTACATTCCGCGATCACACCACTAAAATTTTCAGTAAAATAGTCTACCAGTCCCGCTGCCACAGACAACCTATGCAAAGCGTTGGACAAAGATTTCACCGTATGATTCTTATCAGCCCAAAGCTCAATATCATGTGTACAAACTTTACGTAATAATGCGATAGTACTGGAATCGTTATCCATAATTAGCCTAGCACCATAGATATTAAGTTCCTTGAACAACGGATTATCAGTAAACAATTCCTTTGCCATATCTGCTTCCATTCCTTTAGCTGAACCGCTATAATTATTTCTACAATCGTGTATTTTGCCTGAACTACAGGACCGACAAGTTTTTGTACAGACTGCGAAAGAACCAACTTTTTTTGTGTGAAAACACATCAATACACCATGACCTATACGACAATTAACGTTTCTCAATGCAAAGCTTTATAACAATTACTCATGCGATATTTTTAGCTTACATAATAATATTATTTTATTTATAGTTTTTTATTTTGAATAAAAAATATAAAAACTATTTGAATATTTCCTAAGTATTTCTGTAAGTAAAAGTATTGCAACTATATCGAGGTCCTATCAAATTATTTTTACCTGACAAACTATTATAGGCTCTGCCGGTTCCCCTTTTTTGCCAACCTGCGTCATAACCGAATGTTAATCCATATTTGTCTTTTTCATTCCTGAAAATAAACGCGATAAAAAATAGAAAGTGAAATACACAAAAATTATTACAATTTTGTTACATTTTATTTATAGCAAATATTGCCAACTTGCTGAATACTAAAATATCGAAGCATTTGATACAAATATTGTCTTACATTAGTGCAAAATTTCTTATCTCAACAGTTACATACATAACACTCAAAATCATGAAAGTATACATCAGTTTTTAGGTAAATATCGTCATAACATATATAAGCATTGAATGGAATAGTTAGATGATTGAGTTCTTAAAAAATAATATCTTGTTTATCATAATTGGAGAATTGATAAAGTAAATGTTATCAATAACAAACAAAAAATAAAAAATAGTAAAAAATTACAATTTCATTATAACAATGATTCAATAAAAGTTGAGTGTAAAAAAAATCATAAAAAAATTATTTTTATATAAATAAAATTCTAGCTCATGCAGATCTTTCTTATATGTGAGTATAACTGCGACCAAAAAAGTCCTACTTGTCTGTTATAATATCATTGGCTTTCTTAGCCAAGGCTATTTCTTCTTTCAAAACATTCAAGCATGAATCTTTAGCGAGGGCTTCGATTGCTGGGCCTACAATCCTTTCATACCTTTTGAGCAAAGTATCTGACACGGTGTTGATATTCAGTGCAGATAGTAATATATTGAATTGTGTTTCACCAATTCCAGCATCTATAATACCTATAAAATATAACAATCAGTAATAGATCATTATTAAAAATAATAATTATGATCAAAAGTAGAAATCATTTACCAAGCGCTGCTTTAGCATTTGCTTCAAACAGTACACTATTGCCCTGTCTGAATATTTTTCCTGTTCTTACTGTTTTGACCTTATCGCATTTGTAACATTTTATATCATAAACATATCCTAAGCCTTGCTGGACTTTATTTACAGTGTATCGAAAAGATAAGGGTATGTCACAGCTGCAACACCACATTTCTTGTGCCAATATGCTAGGCTCAAATAATTCTCTCCCAGCCAAAACATCACCTTTAACTTTAACCGTGGCCGCATCGTCATTTTTTTCGCTTTCCTCCTTTTCCTATAAAATATATTATAAATAAAATAATCAGTCACGTATTGTTTACATATTTTTGTATCAAGGTATCTCACCTCGCATAACCTCTTCGACCTCTCTCCTCGATCTACGCTTTTCGTTCGTTTCACTGATTTTTTTTAAATTGACCTTTGCGAGATCCTTTTGTGATTCTCTCGTTATTTCTTCAATTGTTTTTATCCTCGCTTGTAGAAGCGTCATCACTCATTTCATTAATAACAAATATCAACTAATGTTGACAAACACATTACGCTTACGATCGCGCAAACAGCTGGTGCGACACTCGTATACTCACCGTACAGACATATAGGTTAGGTAGTAAGGCATGCTTTCCGGATGTACGGTCATCTAAATCGAGCTGTTCATTGGCTCATTGTAAACAAGATCAAATCAGCGACTGTATATTTTATTGATAAATAAAATATAATCTTAAGTTGCTCGCTTTCATAATATTTGGGCTTTAAAAATAATTGCAGGATTTACTAGCATCAATTAAATATTGCGAATACGAATTTAATTTTGGGCGGAGTTTGACCTCGGCTGTAGTCGCTGGAGCCCCCTTAACTTTAGTATTTATCCATCACCTAAGGTTCTCGAAATATCCTAAGCTAAATGTGTAAAAATTACGACTATTTGTTATGTTCAAGATTATGTAACACTGTGAATAAATTTTCTTTCCAGAAACCAGTTAAATCATCGCACAGCAGCACTCTCACCTTTTAAACCTAATTTTTTGGACTAAAAATATCTTTTTTTTCATTGAGATAACATTGATTGTTAACAACTTTAGCGATTTCGCAACAACATTAAAATTACAGATTACAGTGGTCAGAGATCATCAGGCAATTGGTTTTGATGGGTCCAGGGTTATAGACTCGCAGGTTACAACAGGGGTCGAAGCTTAAGACAGTCGCAATTCCAGGATCTGGAGTATGCTAGACATACATATTTGGCGACCCAGTTGTTTTAATGTTGTTACGAAATCGCTAAAGTATTCAACTTCAATCAATGATATCTCGATGGAAAAAAATATAACTCTAATCCGAAAAATGAATTTTAATGGGCAAAAGTGCTATATTATTTTGACTTTATTTGTTTTTGGGGAAAAAAATTATTCACGGCGATACATAACCACAAACATAGCGAAATATCATGATTTTCTCAGTTTTAGGTTTAGAATATCTCCAAAATCTTAGCTGATGGATCAATTCTGAAGCGAGATTCGAATTGAGCGCTTCGAAAACCTATTACTATCGTATTTCTGGTTTTCTTTCCATTCTGGAATTTTGTCGATCTGTGTAATTGATGCGATAATGTGGCAACAGTGATTTATTAATTTTTATATGAAACTTTAAAAAAAATATAACAATCGATAAACAACAAAAAATGAATTTTTGTAAATAAACTCATAAAATATTCAAAATAAAAATTATAAAAATTAATTAGTATAAATAAATATGTGAGAATAATAATTAACTATCTGCCAATGAAATTACATCAATTTTTTTGTATGGTAGGTATAAGCCGATCAGTTATCAATAATTAGATCGATTATGTCGTGAGATAAAACATTTAAAATATAAATTAGTTTCAATGACGTGAAATGTATTGTTTTAAGCAATAGTAGTTGAGGGTGATATAGTACTCTATAGCCATTAGGCTCTCTCGTCGCCTCGTAGTGCAGCGGTTAGTAGTCCCCGTATAATTGTGTGAGACAGTTGAACGCTGTGTTCTGTTTTATTTACAGCATTCATGTTTTGCCATGAGCTACATTTTTAATATGAAAGTTTTTATTGCAGCCGTAGTGTTAGTGCGTAAAAGTTTCGTCTGAATAATTTTATCCTAGATAATTGAATCTCCGTACAAAAAGTCTGTGTGTTATATCAAGATTGAAATTCGTGAGTATAACATTTCCGCTACGTCAGTGTTCATTTCATGCCCCTATTTTTGGAAACTCCAGCTGATTTTCGTTCACCATACACTGTATTTTCATTCGGTGTACTGTGAATTTAGAAGTAAATTAAATTCTGACAATTAGTTTTCCAGAAAATAAAATTTCATTATTTTTCTTATCCATTCATTTTTAGTTCTAGGTTCTTTTCGCATATGACAACTACGTAATATACTATAAAAAATGATTTCTCTGTCTTTCTTTCTATATGCTTTTCTGTTACTCTTGTTTCTTCTTCGTTCCGATCACTATCCGTCTAACTAGCCTACGTCTAACCCTGTCTCTTTCTCTCAATCTCCCCCCCCCCCCCCTCCCTCTATCTCGCACTCCTCCCCCCCTCTCTGTCTCTCACTCTCACTCTCTCTCTCGTTTCTCTCGCACATTCATAGCATATGTTTTATTTATAAAAATAGCCTGTAGAATTTACGAAACTGCACGTACTATTCTGATCATGCTTAGTAGGACATACCAGCGATCTTCTCGTTAAAACTATTAGTATTAGTTATTAATTATATTTTGGATTGTTGTGGATTATTTATACATTCTTCATCATTCTCTGATATTCGCATAAACATATCTGTCTTTTGATACTTAGCTTTTATCCACTGTGTTCTCTTGCCATAATAATCATAGCATTATGGCTTATATAGTTTGAGACATATGCTTCTAGATTATGTAAACCAATCAATAAAAATAAAGTTTTTCAAACTTTATTTTTGAAATAAAATCTGATCATCATGCTGTATTGATAACGTTTGAAAGATTTAGGATGATTGAGATAAAGATTACATGTATTTATTAAATTTTTATAAAGGTGGTATCTGATGGAAAATATTCATTACCGATTTAAAATATGGACAAAGTTGGAAAAATAATTATTTAAAAGGTATCAATAATGAAAGTCAAAATTCTTAAGAAATAAGTCAAACTTCTATTACATAATTCTCACTAATCAATTAAAAATAGAGATTTAGAAATTAAATTGGCTTGCTGATATGTCAGTAAAATTTGTATTGGAAATATTTAGTAAATAAATCTCAATTTAATTTTCAAACCTATTGAGCGAGTATATTTTATATGAGCCTAGCTATATATTTTTTATAATAAATTAATATATGATTTTAGATATTTTATATTTCCAGCTTTTTAATATTAGTAAGGATTATTACTATTATATTAATATATAAACCAAAATTAAATCATTCAGTTAAACTAATCAATTTAAATCAATTAAATCTTTCATGTCGCTTCTTTATGACCTACACAATAAGAGTTAAATTTATATCATATTGTATATCAGATCTTAGAGTGTCTTGTTATTTTAACTTTAGATGATGACTTGATAAGTGAATAAACATAAAATACATCCAGCTTATCGGTTTCAAGTCAATTCTTATTCTCGTGTTTCAATTATATAATTAGAATCAAACACTTTTCGTATTAATGAGGCTAAGATCCATTGAAAACAATAGTTACGGGAAATATTTTAAGAGCGATTTTGAGAATGAAACAATTTGCTGCATTCGGTGAAGACTGAAAGCAAAAAAAGTTTGATTTAACCATCTCAGAATGTCTTTGAACTTAATCTCAACCGTTGTTTCCTCGTTTTTAAGTCAATACTTCATTGATAACTGAAGATTGAAATTTAAGTCTCTGAGTAATTTCTTATTGCTGAAACTTATAAGTCGTAGGTCAAGTTTTAATACTCAGTTCTCACACAAGAAGGTGTTAAAATTAATTTTTTTAGGGCTATCGAATATGCAGTTGCGTACATAAGTTTTTGATCAGCCTATACTGAAATTATCAAAAATTCAAAGTTCTGTAGCTCCCTCGGAAATAGTTGTAGGTGAACCCGCGGAGGCTCATGTTAAATGGAAAAGCAATACCTTCATATTTCGCTGGTTTTTTTAAACGGTTGAAAATTGCAAGCTGCACATTTTCAACAGCGAATTTTGTTTTGCTAATAAGCCTTACACATAATACAGAATGATCCAAATTTTTTTAACTCTGTTCTTTTTTCTATGAGGCTAAAATTCAAACTGACGGAGAAGTTAATAAGCATAATTGCAGCTACTGGTCGAATGCTCATTGGTACAGAACTATAAATCATCAAAGGTGTTGGGTCTGATGGTTTGGTGTGGAATTATCAATGGTTATTTGATCAGTACTTATTTGTTTGAGGAAAATGTTTACAGAAATACCTATTCACAGTTAATAAGAGATCAGTTACCTGCAATGATGGAAGATATTGATTTACAAACACGACAGAGAATGTGGCTTCGGCGGGATGGAGCTCACATCTCCAGAGTTTTCTTTTGTGGGGCTATTTAAATAATTTTGTCTTTGAACAACAGCCTATAAGTAGAGAAGATATGCAAAATTGTATTCGCCGTGCATGCCTTGCAATACCAAGAGAAACTTTGTTTGGCACCGCCATTTCTAGAGGCGATTAATTTTATGCCTTCAAACAAATTGAGGCAACTTCGAACATTTGCTTCGAGGTTAAATGAATTTAGATTATGTAAGAATATGATTATAAATATGATTTTACATCTTTAGTAAATGGTTTAATAAATAGCAAACTTAAGTTGTATTTGACCCTGTCATGTTTTTGGTAAAATAAAATGAACGTTAAAAAAACGTAAAACTTTTTTTTTTCAAATCCTTACAATCACTTTCTCTTACAATCTTAACCTATATTTGACTTTAGCATGACTGGTAAAAATAAAATAAATGTAAAATGAAAATATAAATATTTCTTTGATTACTACCCACTCACTCCGAATTCGGGATAAATAAGACAAGTTCCTATTAGAAAAAAAACAAAATTGACCTTGAAAATTAAGCAAACATGGTCTAAAACATTTTTCACTTAACCTTACCCTGGCCCGAGCATTTAGGTGAAAAAATTGAAAAAAAAACCAACCTCTACATAACCGTGGGAATTACGCAGACCCCAACTTTTTCACTCATCTAAACATAGAATTTCCTGCCCTTTTTGAATCCGTGATCAAAAATAGGTGTCCCTATTTAAAAAAAAAAACGAAGTTAACCTTAAAATGACCTTGAACACGATCTCCAAGGTCAAAGACAAGTTTATAGACATATGTCCCACTCAAAGTTGAGCCACTTTCATCTGAACCGATTTAACTAACTCCTATAATACATATAGCATGTCTTATACGCAATCCATATACAATCGAAATACTGAATTTTATTTATATCCAAAGCAGATGAACAGGAGAGGCCTTAGCTCAGGTGGGTATTAGCTCACTGCACCCCCCCCCCCCCCCTACTGAGCTGATGCCCGTACATCTTCAATTCAGCACTGTCAACTCACGTCCGCTACTCTTACGTTCTTCGGTACTGTCGACTCATCTCCTCCCTCCCCTACTGAGCCGATATACTCTCTGAACCGATCCCCCTCCGTTCACATGCTTTCCGTTCATCGTGTGCATGTGTGTTAAATTTTTTAAACGTAATAAGGTAAATTTTTATCGAAAAAAAACGAACGGACAGATCGAGGTATCGAACCGACGTCCTCTGGACCCGGACAGTTCTTATTGTGTACAGGGTGTCCCATTTTAAAGGAACCACCCCGAAATTTTCTACGGTTGGCGTTCTATAAAAAAATTGTTCAGACAAAAGTTGTTTGGGACAATGAGAAATACCTTTCCCAGAAATCGGATTTGACCTTGAGATTTATTTTCAAGGTCATTTGCAGGTCAAAGTTATTTTTTGAATAGGAACCTATAATTTTGATCCCGGATTCGGAGTGAACGAGAAATTCTACGTTCAGATAAGCTATTATGTGTGGGGTGCGGTTACCCCCCCCCCCCCCGCGTAAGGTCATGTAGGGGTCAAATTTATTATTTTCTTCATCTATGCACAGGGATGATCGGGCAAAGGTAAGATTGTAATAACCCAATAACTTGCTGGTAATATCTTGCCCTCCCCAACCCAATAACTGGACGGTAACATCTTGCTGCAGCACGATATCGACCTTGACCGACAAAATTACCCAGGGAGGCTTCGCTACCCAAACCACGTGAGAATCCGAATCATTGAAGGAAGAGAGAGACGTCGACCACGAATACGCAGAAATCGTCGTCGCATTATGAGATAGAACAACGATGATCCACGAATTCTCATTGTTTTGGCAATGGTTGATTTAGATCATCATATCTCTGCGTGAAATTCAGAGACTTACTAGAATACCAGTAAACAGCCGGTAGAATGTTGCGGCTTCATAGATTTCATCCGTATCATATAACTGACTCAAGCTTTGGTTTTAGATGATCTCCGCCGCCGACTCGAATTCTGTAATTGGGCACAAGCAAGGATTCGTGAAGATTCTAAATTTTTCAGATATGTACTGTTTTCGAACGAAGCTACATTTCATAGTAATGGGCAGCTCAATCGCCATAATAGTCATTATTGGTCTATCCAGAACCCTCATTGGGTACGTCATGTTGATAATCAGCATAGATGGAGCCTCGTAGTTTGGTGCGGTATAATAAATGGTTATTTGAAAGGATTTTAATTTTTCGATGGGAATGACAACGGCGCAGCATATCTTAATTTCCTGCAGAATGAATTACCAGAATTATTGGAAGATGTGGACTTGGAAAGAAGACGACGATTATGGCTTCAACAAAACGGTGCACCGTGTCATCGCTCACTAATAATTCGTCTCTTGTTGAACCAACGATACTAAAGACGATGGATAGGCATTGGTAGTGACATTACTGAGTGGTGTCCAAGATCACCAGATCTGACAAGTCCAGATTTCTTTTTATGGGGCTATTTGAAAAATGTTGTTTATGAACAGCAACCAACAACACGGCAAGATACGATGCAACGCATCATACAAGCTTGCAGAGCTATTCCGCGTCACGTTTTGATGTCCACAGTTGAAAATTTTGAACGTTACGTCGTTACGTCGCG